ATATATATATTTATTTTTATTTATTTATTTATTTTTTTTTCTTGGTTGTATTTGATGTACTGCCTTTAATTTCTGCTGAAGTAATTAAATAATTGAGAATTTCATAGTTAAGCTAAAAACGCATTCATTCGCATGTTTGTCCTGTTTTAGTCACATGATTAATTAAATGTATTAAATAATAAAACAATTATTTAAAAAATTATTATAAAAATTATTAAAAAATAACAATTTATTTTATGATTTTGTTCTTTTGTGTGTGTATTTATATGTACTTTATTATTATTACCACTGCCTTTTATTGATAAATGTTTTGCTCTTTTTTCACAGTATGTTTTGCTATGATTCTGTTTTGTTTTTTTCTTTCATAGACTACTGTTTTTATTGAAAACACTTCAGATTAGAATCGTGAATATTTTTGAATAACAAAATCATGGTTATTTAATTTAATACATAAATTCTCAAAGTTTCTATTAATGGAAAAGTTTAAAAACGAGCAGCGTTGTCAAGTACAGTAGAAATAGAAATACCAGAACACATTTCTTAGTGCTTATGGGCTCCTAAAGTATATTGTGTTGGACAGCAGGGGGCCTTTGAGTCAAAACTCTGATGCTTTCCATGAAATAATGAAAACAACCAGTGAACTCAAAGAATTCAATACTTTATTCAGCAGGGACGCATTAAATTGATCAAAAGTGACCATAAAGACATTTATAATGTTACAAAAGGTTTCTATTTCAAATAAATGCTGTTCTTTTGAACTTTCTATTCATCTGTGAATCCTGAAAAATAAAATGTATCACAAAAATATCGTGCAGCACGACTGTTTTCAACATTGATAATAATCAGAAATGTTTCTCGAGCAAGATCATGTGACGCTGAAGACTGGAGTAATGATGCTGAAAATCACAGAAATAAATTACAGTTTAACAGAGATTCACATAGAAAACAGCTGTTTGAAATAGTACAAATATTTCAGAGTTTTCATCAAATAAATGCAGTTTTGGTGAGCAGAAGAGACTTCTTCAGAGCTGTTTCTTTGATTCACGCCTGAGAGCTCATTATTGTGGGACTCCTCCTGCGGCCGCTAATCAGTCTGTACTGTAAAGGACCTTAGTGAGGCCCCTGGTCACGGGACCTGGGACATTCCTGTTCGTCTCCGTGACGACGGCGCTGGATTGTTTGAATAAAGGAGCCTGTGGCTTCACAAACAGTGAACCGCATACAAACACCTCTGAGACTCCTTACAGCTGCAGTTTGTAGATAAATCAGCACCTGAATCACATTTGATCCGGTTTATAAGAACTCTCTGCAAACTTTCTGTGGCAGAAATTTTATTTCTATCTGAAATATTAATTTTATTTGCTTCACTGTACTAAAGAGTGTTCTTTAGACTGTCTCTGAGTGCTTCAGTATGCTTGAGTTTCAGAGGTGTAAAGTATTGGAGTAAATGTAACTAATTGCTGTACTTGAGTACTTTTCGAATACTTTGTAGTTGTACTGAGTATCAAAGATATTAGCAACTTTTACTCTTTACTCCACTACATTTGAAATGAGTGTTGCAGTTACACATTACATTTTGCATGGACCTAGCTTTTCTGCAGCAGTTTAATTCTGCTACAAAAGATGTGATATCTACAGGGCACTGAAAGTACTATATCTTGTGCATTTTGCCCTTACTCACACAAACTTGTCAACAAGGCTACTTTACGTGAATGCGAGTTCCTTAGCAAGTAGTTGTGAATCACAGGTGTTTTATATATGAGATGAGGACATGACTGCAGCCAAAATTTAATTTAAAGTGGGGGTACAATGCTGTTTCATACATTCAGAGTTGTTTACACTGTTAAAGAGTTGGATTCTCATGCTAAGCATGGACAAAGTTTCAAAAAACAATTTGGACGTATGGAGTATTTCTGTGCCAAAAATCTCACTTCCGGGTTCGTACAAGTTTCGGAGAGTTTTTTTCGATCGTGGCTCTTCATGACGTAGACGAGGGTGGAACTCCTTATATGGGCATTTCTCCCGGAAGAGCGCGCCCGCGAACACATCGACCAGAGCGAGAGCGAGAGCAAGAGCGCGCCCATCAATGCGCTTCATCCAGCGGCAGCGCTGCATGGGACTTGTTCGGGAAGAATGTCTCCAATCCAAAGAAGTGTGTTTTTGGTTGTGAGGTAAAGATAACTTTGTTCAGCTTCCTAATAAAATCCGGCTTCGCTACCGTTCGGACGTTCTTGCTTACTGCTCTGCGCTTTGCTCCCTATTTCTGTACTTTTCTTTGATTTTTCTAAGATTTTTACTTCAGCAGATCAGCACAGTGCTCAAACAACATATTTTTGGCACAAACACTAAAACAAAAAACTCTCTGGGACTGGAATAATAAATGCAGACTCAAAACTCATCTGTTTAGCTGTGCATTTATTGAATGAGCACTGTGCGATGTCCGAACTGATTGCACTATATTTTATGTATAATCGTTTTCTTAAATTAATTTTAAACCTCTTAAATCCATTTTTAAAATCATTTTCAAAGTTTTTAAATTCCTTGTTTTATTGTTGTGATTATTTTTTTTCTTTTCTTTTATGTAAAGCACTTTGAATTACCATGGTGTATGAAATGTGCTATATAAATAAACTTGCCTTGCCTTGCCTTGCCTAAAGAACCCAGCGTTATGTAGACAGTGGATACAGTTTGTTTTTCCGGAGCAGCAACGGAGTTTCACAAGTGTGTTTGTTGACGAACGTTTTATAAACAAGGCCCAGTTCGACGCTGGATTTGCACATCGTTTGATACTGAAAGATGGAGCGGTCCAGCTATAAAAGATCCCGGTCATGATTCAGAACTGCAGACGGTAAGTGAAACGGCATCAAAAATGTCTGTTTTGTTGGCATTTGGCGCTCAAGTGCTCGTCACTCTTTAGCTCCGCCCACGGCGCGCCTCCAGGAGCTTGGATTTTTCCGTAGAGAATCGTAAAGCTGTATTTTTCTTTTATAAATATGATAAAACTAAAGACTTTTTGGAGATATGAAGGATGCAGTAGTACTCTATAGGTACTCAAGATTAACATGAGATTGGGTGAAACTGTGTGTGTTATGCCCCCTTTAATATAATTTATTTATTTATTTTATAAAATTTTTAGCAATTTTGAGGTGTTCCGTTTTATTTTGGTTTTAGAAAATAAACGCGATTGCTCTCCTCACAAATCAGCTCTTTCCTGTTTGTGTTACATTTGTGTTAGCATCTTTGAGCCTATATTTAGTATAAGTAAAATACTAGTATAAAGTATAAAATTTTATAGTATATAAAATATATAAAATTATATATAAAGAATATTAAAGTATATAAAATTATATTTATATAGTATAAAATTAAAATCAGATACTCTAAGACTTTTACTCAAGTTGTTTGGAATTGGTGACTTGTAATGTGTAGTGGAGTAATTTTCACGGTAAAGTATCTGTACTTTTACTCAAGTGTGGTTTTCAGGTACTCTTTACACCTCTGTTGAGTTTTCGATGAGCTGAGCGATAACAGGAAATCTATTTGTGTGTGTGTGCAAGACAAGTGTGAGACATAGATGTTATTTTAGTTTCTTAGACATCCTGGCTACTTAGAAAATGATTTGCATTAAATTCTTAGAAATGCATCTGGAGGACATAGACATACAGGTGCATCTCAATAAAGTAGAATGTAATGGAAAAGTTAATTTATTTCAGTAATTCAACTCAAATTTAATACACGAGTTTCACAATTTGAGTTGAATTACTGAAATAAATGAACTTTTCCATTACATTCTAATTTATTGAGATGCACCTGTATATGTTGAATATGCATTATGATTGGATGAGATCAGAGCATCCGCATTTGATGAAGGTATAAATGTTGAGTTTGGGTGTTTCCTTTTTGTTGCAATCTACAGCCAACCCTGAATGACCGTATGAATGTAGACCTTTTCCTGCAGGAAAATAAATATTCAAAAGACGTTTGTCTCATACCTTTAATTGAAATGGAAAATTGCCACGACACTTTCACACTTAAATGGCTGTTAATAACAGAAATGCTCAATATAGTAACCCAACAATCTCTTGTTTGTGCCAGCAGGAGGCGTCAGACGTCAGAACATTAACAGACCTGTTTATCCTCTGATTTATCCACCTTTCACTGAGAACGATTATGGGCTGTCTGGAGGTCAAGGGTAACCACGGAAACAGCTCCCCTCTGTTCTGGAATGTTTGATTGTGAAGAGGAAGTGCTGCATCACATGATCTCAGAGAATCCAGGTAAAAGGGCGAGTGCAGGGTGTGACCTCTGAATTGACCTTTCACTGCTCACCCACACGACCTCTGTACTCACAGCTCTCTGATTAACGGTCTAAAACCAGAAAGACACAATGCCAACTTGACCTTAATCGTCATGTAAATAATGTCACAGTGGAAAAATGTATTGATCCTTGAAATAGAATTTCTTTGCATTGTTTGTCATATCCTTTATATTTAGTGCATATATTCTAGGGTTATTTCAGGATAATTGGGTAATTTTTCCCAGTCATCCCAATGGCAAAAAGTTTCCCAATTAACCTGAATTTATCCATTATTTTATTTTATTTTTTATAAATTGTATTTTATTATATATTTTATTAAAACAATTACATTTTTAATTTAAAACTTGTTTAAAAGAAATAGACATGATCTTGGAATCAATTTTATGTTTTATTTAATGTGATTTAATTTGATTTGATTATATATTTTAATCATTTATATATAGATATAGATATTGTGTATGTGTTTTTTATGAATCACCAATCTCTTTTTATGTTCTTTATATTTCTTTTCTTTTCTTTTGTTTTCTAAGGGTGAAATGTGTTTATATATTTGTGAATTTACACACAACAGAAGCTCCAGTTAAATCTGGTTGAAGCACTAAAACAGTCGTCTCCCGCCCACTCCGGGTGATGCCTGGCCCCTCCACACTGCAGTCATTCATTCAAATAGTGAGCTGGCCGCTGGATCAAGTTTACTCTTCTGAGGAGCTTCTGGAGCAAATACTGTGAGAGGAGCGACTCGATCAGAGCTCAGGATCTGATTGCTTATCTCCTGCAGATCCGCTGAACGTTCAGCCCTGTGTGTGTTCAGGAGGAAGGGCTCTGCTGACACCTGCACCATGAGGAAGGGCTCCTGCTGCATGTTCACGTCGGGAGTCATCGGCGCTGTTCTCCTGATCATGGGAATCAGCCTCTTTGTGTCCGGACTCTTCCAGACCTTGATCCACAACAAGCTGAAGGGGGTAAGAGTCTGCTTTCAGCTCATTCATCAGCTGTCTTTGCTGAGGACTGGGAAGTTTATTATGTCAGCTAAATATTATAATTTTATAATGTTTATAGTATTTTTTATAAAATATATATATTTTATATATTTACATTTTGTTATATTTTAAATGTACATTTTTATGATTTATTTAATTTTTTATAGTGTTTTGTATTAATTTTATTTTAAATGATTTATTTATTTTTTGTAATTTTACATTTTTATGGTTTATTTCACTTTTAGTAAGTGCTCTTTATTGATTAGATTTAAAAAAATAATAATTTCATTCTATATTGATTATTCAAATTTTTATGGTTTAATGTTTAAATTATTTTTTATTTTAATTTGACATTTTTGTAATTTATTTATTATTATAATTATTTTAATTTTTTAATTATTTTTTATTTTAATTTTACATTATGATTTATTAAAAATTTAATAAGCGTTCTATACTATTTTTAGTTTAAATGATTTATTTGATAAATTTTATAATTGATTTAATTTTTAGTAAATGTTCTATATTGATTTTTTATTTTTCAATTATTATTTTAATTTGACATTTTTATGATTTATTAATTTTTAGCAAATATTCTATATTGATTAATAAAAAAATGTAATTTAAATTTTAAATTTGTATAATTTATTTAATTTTCAGTAAGTGATTGATTGATTGATTTATTTTTTGGAATGATGCAGTGGCGGGAAACGGTCACATTTGTGTGCAGCCGGTCTCAGTGGAGCATGTGCTCGGTGTAATCAGAGTGACGTGTAACATGTGCTCGGTGTTTCCGTCTTCACTGCATATGCTCCGATTTCTCTTCCTCTTATCGCATCATGTAAATGTCACGTCTGCAGAGAACACATGGTTTGTCAGATGATGTAGAGAACAATGAGTTAGTAACAGTGAATCACCTGCTGGAACACAAACGTCTCTTATTGACATTTGAAAGTAAATGCTCTGCATCGCACGAGTGTGAAATCAGCCGATCAGTTGCGTTCTGAGAGTTTTGTGTTTTACATTGAATCCGAATGCTCTATTTGTATGTGATCCGCTGCAGCAGCTCATGCTGAACAGGAAACACATTGTGTGGAT